CGATGTAGAACATACTATCATATATTGAATTTTTTACAGATGGCGGAAATTAGCTGTTTTAAAAAGAATTTAGGTAAGAAACACAAGTAGAATTTATCTAATGATATCTAATAATTATGATGAAGAGGGTAGATATACACACGCTAAGAAATGTAACGCCGCCGAATACCAATGCTACAGTACTGACACCGAGTGATGATAATACTACGTGTGCAATAGAATTACTCACTTCTTTCGCAAATCTATAAGAATTTATTTAATTTATGCAGTTTATAAAAAATTTATTTAAATTTATAAAAAATTTTTATTTAATTTATAAAAATTAATTTATATAAAAAATTAAACATTGTAACAAAAAGTCACATATGATAATTTTGTATTAGAATTTTTTTAGAAATATATCATTTTCTAAAATAAAGATGAAAAAGATAAATAGTAAATAAGTATTCTGAGAGTTATGAAAAAGATAATTAAAATATTTATTTTTACGAAAAATTAATTGATCGGACTTAGTTTGTACCTTTTACATACCTTAACATTTCTTGGTGTTCTTGTATACATGTTTTCCAGTCACAATATTTCGTGATCATATGGAATTTGTTTGTCAAAATCTCAAAACGAGCCGTTGTAAACCACAGTAGCAGCGCGAGGAAAACGTTAGCGCTTACTTGACAATAAACCTGATACATACCAAGTGCTTGATGAAAATAGATTATCGCTGTCATTGGTTGATAGTCCACGCGAAATGGATATTCTATTTCTAATGGAAACATGCGGGATCGAATTAGTGGCACTATGAGAGAACCAGCCAGAGATGCGGTAGTTAAAGTCAATGTAGTTCCATAAAGTGTAATATATTTGTTAATATATTGTTGAAATACATCTTTTTCTTGAGCGTTTGCTTGTTCATAATAATCTTCCATTTTATAAATTACATTCTGTAAATTTATTAAAATTTAATTTAATTGACTTCATTGAGTTACATATACATATATCACGTAATTTAGGTGTAAAGAAAAATATTGTGTTATATAAATGTATATCTTGCTAGAAATTTTTTTTTGCTTCTATTTTGAGGGATTAAAATAAAATAATATAAAAAGAGATATAAAAAACCACGAAATTCAAAACACATCAATGTATATCATATCCACTATTGTTGTGCTGCAAACTTTTATATTTTATTTTTGAAAGCTTTTTTTAAATTGGTATAATAAAATATGGAAACTATGATAAAGTAATAAAAAATTTAGTATGTTACTTAGTAGTTGATATCTACCTAAAAATAAGAAAAGTTCTCTATGAAAAAAAAATATTTCCAAATTCGATCTGGATATGGTATACTTGCAATCAGATGTGTTTTCTAGGATTATAGGAAAATAATATATTCTATCTATATTATTTGTTACATTATTAGTCAATATATAAATGTAATTATTATTTTTCTTACTTGCAATCGATCGTGTTGTTGCGTAAATAAATATATTTGTAATGGAACTTCACAAAAAATGCCCAGTGCACAAGCTAATTGCATAATTAGAAAAACATTATCCAGATGATTAGTAATTGAATATATCAATTCGATAACTATGAGTGCACCATTCACGATTGACAAATATCGAAATATTCTGTCACGAATGATTTGAAACTTTGTGGCAGTTCGTGGTAGAGGCCAACAACAAGCGAACAATAAATCTATCTTCAGGAAAGCAATAACTTTGTCTAACGTCGGCGCAGTTCTCATATTACTATCTACCTATCACTTCTTTGTACAATCGCACGTTACTCCCTTCGCGGTTTTCTCAGACTTTTACGAAGAATTTCATACATAAGGGTAGAACCAGCAGTTAGATGATATGAGATTACGCTCATTAGCAATATGAAGTATCTTAGGTGGAATATTACCGCGCTTATCATTTCTTCCGTTTGCTTTCTTCTCTTTAAAATTCACATGCAATCGCAATCGCGTGTGGATTAATAAGTTATATGACTAGGGTGTAGAGTTACGTATTCCACGCACGTACATTTCTATCTTGAATTATGAGATCTACGCCTTTAGCTAATCTGTGTGTAATTATTATACATTGAGAAAGATTATTACTATAATGGAAATTTTACTTTCCTAGAGAGTGAATGAAATAGAGAAAGTGTATATTGTTGATAAATGAAAAGTGACACAAGAGAATGCATATGATGATTTATTGTAATGTATTATAATGCAAATATTTTATATGTTACTTAATGCAAATATTTTATATGTAAATATTTTATATGTTATAGATTATTTATTAACTTATTGACAATGTTGTTTAGTGAGATATATTACTTTTAATCGTAAAAAGCATTTATATTTTCGATTTTTGTTAAGTCAGTCATTGAGTTATTTCAAAAATTTATTTAGTTCTTTTTTGATAATTTTGTCTTAAAAAATTATTCATAGTTCTGAGAGTATTTTTCTATAAGATAATTTTATAGTAAGATTATAATAAATGGTGCATGTTATATTGTCACATATATATATATATATATATATATATATATATACACATATATATATATATTAAATTAATAATATAATATTTATTATTATTATTACATAATTTCTATACAAAGTAATATTTAAAGAAGTATGGCTTGTTTTAATTTATAATAAAAATTCTGAACTTTATGCGATTTTATGGAATTCAGTAAGAGTATGTGTAAGTTTGCATAAAATATTTGAATTTATTCTAAATCTAGCTCTATCATTTTCAATGTCATAAAATACAAAAATATAGTGGAAAGAATCTAAGAATATAATTAATAATTTTTATCAACAAGTATTAATAA